GGCTCCAAATGATGATACTTTATGGCTTCATATAGCTTCTTTTTGTGCTATTTTCTTGTTACCATCCTCATTCACTACTTCTTATCTGTGCTGGAAACCAGGTAAGTAAATTTGGTGTTAGGCCTAAAATTAGGATATGACTATCTGTGGATTTTGTAACATCTTTTATGGGAAAACCTTTTTTTGTTTGTTTACTTATTGATTCTCCATTATATTCTATTTAATAAAAGTCCCAGAAAAGTGCCCCTTCTCAAACAGTTTTATTTGAGTTCACTCATGCTATTGACCTGAAAACAAGGTTCTGTGAATAGTCAATGGAGTGCTGGAGTGGCAATTATCTGGAAGACATAATCTGTTTTTTAGTACTTGAGCTCATACACCTGAACAAAAGAGACACTGGCCCAGTCGTTGAACCTTTCACAGACCGTTTCTGCCGTCGTAAACTGTTTCAACAGAAATAAATGGCTGAGATGATAAATGGATATACCTTGCCAAAGAAGCAGAGCTCACAGCTTCAGAAAAACTGCTGAGCTCTAGAACTCTCGTTAGTAAATGCCCTCTTGAAGGGTTAATTCTTTTACTGATGAATATTTCTTTACTACCACTTCTTTTCATTTTTTTTTAAAGATTTTATTTATTTATTTGACAGAGATCACAAGCAGGCAGAGAGGCAGGCAGAGAGAGAGGAAGGGAAGCAGGCTCCCCGCTGAGCAGAGAGCCTGATGCGGGGCTCAGTCCCAGGACCCTGGGATCAGACCTGAACCGAAGGCAGAGGTTTTAACCCACTGAGCCACCCAGGCTCCCCTCTTTTCTTTTTATTATGTATTCTTATATATGTATGTATCACACACACACACACACACACACACACACACACACACAGTCCAGAGAGCTTAAATTTGTCTACATTACTGGCAAGAGAGAAAAGTCCACTTTTAGTACATGTGCCATCAAAACAGCGCGATAATTACCTTGCAGGAGTCTTCGTGTAATTTCTTTCAGAAGAATGTTTAAGAATCTGATTTCACTCATTCAGTTCATTCCATGCACATTAACTGAGTACTTGCCCTATGTCTAGCGCTCTAGAGATATTAAATATCTGTAGTGAACAAAATCAATATGGTTCCTACCCTCACTGATATCACATGTCTTATTGGGCAGCTTCATTATATAATTAACTTTTATTTTTAGTTTATAACCCAAGGTTATCATAAAATATTGCCTGTAAAATTTCTATAGCAATGTGAAACTTCCTAAATATACTTTCTCAAAAACTATAGGGCCAAATGAAATCATGGGATTTTAGTGCTAAAATACATTTTAAAATGGGCATATATTATGCTCTTCTGCTGTCTTAAATTTTATAAGGTATGGTATTAGTTTCCTATTGCTGCTCTAACAAACTTCATGTTTTCTTAAGCATCATGGCTTAAGAAAACACAGCTTTATTATATGACAGGCTAGAGGTCAGAATGGGTTTCACTAGGGCTATAATCAAGGTATCAGCAGGGCTGGGTTCCTTCTGGAGCCCCTGGGGAGAAACTAGAAGCTGCCTATATTCCTTGGCTTGTGTCTCCATTTCTTCATTTTCAAAGTACAGCACCACTTTGTAAACTGTGCTGAGATTATGGAAATGACTTGTTTTTTTCTTTTCAGCATTTTCTGACGGAAATGTTTTCCTTTTATAATATGAAAAAAACAAAAGAAAATTCCTAAGGTCTGTTTGGAAAACAGTTTAAAGTTCTGTAGAGCTGGAGTGTAAGTGCATGGAACAAACAGATCAGTAGAAATTGAGGTTATTCCAATATCTGGTTGGAACCAAACCAGTCTAACTTCGTAGCCTGGGTAATGATCTGAGCCTGATGTGATGAGCAACGGGGAACGATGGGGGATTTGTAAGCACATGATTGCCAATCAGATTTGTAATTTTAAATATTTTATTTATTTGACAGAGAGAAATCACAACTAGGCAGAGAGGCAGGCTCCCTGTGGAGCAGAGAGCCCGATGCGGGGCTCGATCCCAGGACCCTGAGATCATGACCTGAGCCGAATGCAGAGGCTTAACCCACTGAGCCACCCAGGCGCCCCCAGATTTGTAATTTTAAAAAGAAGCTTTAACAGGGTGCCTGGGTGTGTCACTTGGTTAAGCATCTGCCTTTGGCTCAGGTCATGACCCCAGGGTCCTGGGATTGCCCCGCATCGGACTCCCTGCTCAGTGGGAAGTCTGTTTCTCCCTCTCTCTCTGACCCTGTCCCCTGCTCATGCTCTCTTCCACTCACTCTCTCTCAAATAAACGAATAAAATCTTTAAAAAAACAAAAAGGTGTAATAATAGATTTTATTAAAATAAGATAAACTTTACCACTATTTTGTAATTCCCCCATTTAAATTCACAAGGCATAATTCAGTTGTTTCTATTGCTGACTTATCCCGTTTCTTCATACTAGCAGGGCAAATAATTAAACAAATTTTAATTGAAGTATAGTTGACACACAATATTCCATTAGTCTCAGGTGTACAACATCGTGATTTGACAAGCTCATCACAAGTGTAACTGCCATATGTCATCATATAGCACTATCACAATACCATTGACTATATTCCCTATGCTGTACTTTTTTATTCCCATGACTTATTCATTCCATAACTGGAAGCCCATATCTCCCACTCCTCTTGACCCATTTTGCCCATCCTCCCACTCCTGTCCTCTTCGGCAACCATCAGTTTTTTCTATTTGTTTGTTTTGTTCTTTAGATTCCACAAATAAGTGAAATCATATAGTATTTGCCTATCTCTGTATGACCTATTTCACTCAGCATAATACTCTCCAGGTCCATCCATTTATCACAAATAGCAAAAATCTCATTCTTTTTATGGCTGAGTAATATTCCATTACACACAGCACACACACACACACACACACACACACACACACACCCCACATTTACATTATCCACTCATCTGTTGATGGATATTTGAGTTGTTTCCATATCTTGGCTATTATATATAATGCTGCAACAAACATAGAGGTACACCTATCTTTTCAAATTAATGTTTCTGTTTTCTCTGGGTAAATAGTCATTTTTTCTTCTTTTTTTGTTTTAATTTATTTGGGGGGATACTCATTAGTGGAATTATTGGATCATATAGTAATTCTATTTTTAATTTTTTGAGGAACCTTCATGCTGTTTTCAGAGTGGCAAAAGCAATTTACATGCTCACCAACAGTTGCACGAAGGTTCCGTTTTCTCCACTTCCTTGCCAACAGTTGTTATTTCTTGTCTTTTTTATTCTAGCCATTCTGAGAAGTATAAAGTGATATCTCACTGTGGTTTTGATTTGCATTTCCCTGATGATGAATGATGTTGAACATCTTTTCATGTGTATGTTTGCCATTTGTATGTCTTCTTTGGAAAAATGTCTCTTTGGGTCCTCTACCCATTTTAATTAGATTATTTGTTTTGGGGTGTTCACATGTATAATTTTTATATATTGTGGATACTACCCCTTTATTTGATAACTCATTGCAAACATCTTTTCCCATTAGTTTTGTTGATGGTTTCCTTCACCGTGCAAAACTTTTAGTGTAGTCCCAATAGATTATTTTTACTTTTGTTTCCCTTGCTTTAGAAGATATATCTAGAAAAATGTTTCTGTGACCAATGTCAAAGACATTACTGCCTATGTTTTCTTCTAGGAGTTTTATGGTTTCAGTTCTCATATTTAGGTCTTTAGTTCATTTTCTAAAAAGATTTTATCTACTTGACAGAGAAAGAGAGAACACAAGCAGAGGGAACAGCAGGGAGAGGGGCAAATAGGCTCCCCACTGAGCAGGCAGCCCGACTAAGGACTTGATCCCAGAGCCCTGGGATCATGATCTGAGCTGAAGGCAGCCACTTAACTGACTGAGCCACTCAGGCATCCCTGGTCTTTAATTCTTTTGGAGTTTCTTTTTGTGTTTGGTGTAAGAAAGTAGTCTAGCTTCATTCTTTTGAATGTAGCTGTCCAGTTCTCCCAGCGGTATTTACTGAAGAGGCTGCCCTTTCCCCATTGTACATTCTTGGCTCCTCTGTCATAGATTAATTGACTATGTAAGCATGAGTTTATTTCTGAGGTCTCTATTCTGCTCCATTCATCTTTGTGTCTGTTTTGGTGCCACAACCACACTGTTTTGATTATTACAGCTTTGTAGCTAATCATTCCATTTAAAAAAATTATTTATTTGACAGAGAGAGATCTTAAGTAGGCAGAGAGGCAGGCGGTGGCGGGGGCGGGGGAGCAGGCTCTCCGCTGAGCAGAGAGCCCGATGCGGGACTCGGTCTCAGGACCCCGAGACTATGACCTGAGCCAAAGGCAGAGGCTTAACCCACTGAGTCACCCAGGCGCCCCAATCATTCCATTTTTAATTCACTTTTCGATGCTATGAAGATAAAGTATTTATTTCGTACACTTATGGAAAAATAAGTACAAATAACAAAGGGCATCTGATTAGTATTTAAACACGACCATTTCAAGTGAACCAAACTTTCTGAATAGACAAACTTTTATCAATCAGCAAACCTTTATTGTTCATTAGCCCCAGTACTCCATCATATGATATAGTATCTTCTTGGCCTTTGGCCAGAGGGAAAATAGTCGTGCTGACTTTGTTTCATTCTGATCAATAGGATCTGGGGGGCAGATTTTCAGAAACACTGTAGGGATCAGCAGGAGCTGTTGGGGGATGAACTTATTGAGTGAGACCTCTGCTTCCCTCCCTGTCCCCAGACATACGGATCACAAAGGGAAACTCCTTACTTATCTATTTTATGGCATGTATTAGGTTTTGTGTAAGAATAATTTGAGAGAAAAACTTAGGTTTGAAAATCTTGGAAAACGCTATACCAACCCATTTTTAAGGGTGAAATATTGGAAGCTATGGGTTCTCAGCTTATTTTGAAATAATGGGTAAACCATTCCATAGCTATGGTTTTACACCCTCCTTAGGTCTCTACATACATACACACCATCCTCTGTGCCTTATAATGCATCCAGCCTGGTAGGAGGTAAGATTTTAAGGTTCATTCCAAGGGCATGGCACCTATTTCAAATATTTAGTTACTAAGGAAAATTAGTGACTAAATATCAGATCCCTTCATAATTACTACCTAATTATCTAGAAAAAAATTGTTTCATATAATTGACTTACTTCTACTGAAAGCAGTTTGCTCTCATGACCTAGGCCAGCAAACATGAGTTATTACAGTTGCTTTGGCAAACTATATGGTTTATAATTGCTAGCTTTAAAATTACCCAATATACTTACTTGAATGTCAGTAGCAAAGTACAAGCAAAACAAAAACTGGAGTTATTTCTCTTTTCTGACAAAAGTAGTCCTCTTCTTATCAAATGGTACACTGAAAGAAGAAAAGCAGCTTAATTACTTTTCAATATATATATATATATATTTTTTTTTAAGATTTTTATTTATTTGACAGAAAGATCACAAGTAGGCAGAGAGGCAGGCAGAGAGAGAGAGGAGGAAGCAGGCTTCCCACTGAGCAGAAAGCCCGACGCGGGGCTCGATCCCAGGACCCTGGGATCATGACCTGAGCTGAAGGCAGAGGCTCCAACCCACTGAGCCACCCAGGTGCCCCTACTTTTCAATATATTAATAGAATTCTATTATCTTGTTGAAGAGTGTATCTTGTAATAGAACCTAGTATGTTTTACTTTTTAAAAAACTGACCAATGACTGTCAAATAATAATTAACTGAGTTCTACTTAAGATTAACCCTCCTAATAATGAGACTCAATTTTAATTTCCCTTTTTTTTTTTTAAAGATTTTATTTATTTATTTGACAGAGAGAGATCACAAGTAGGCAGTGAGGCAGGCAGAGAGAGGAGGAAGCAGGGTCCCTGCCGAACAGAGAGCCCGATTTGGGGCTCGATCGCAGGACCCTGGGATCATGACCCAAGCCAAAGGCAGAGGCTTTAACCCACCGAGCCACCCAGGCGCCCCTCAATTTTAATTTCTTAAAATAGCCTAGTCAGTCAATGAAAAGTCAAGCCCACAGCTAGTGTTAAATATGAAACTATCTTTAAGTTCCTATTTAGTTGCATGAAAGAAACACCATTTTAATTTTTTAAATGAAATAGCATTATTATTAGTTAATATCAAGATTGCTTTCACAAGGGGGGCCTGGTAGCCCAGTGGGTTAAGTGTCCAGCTCTTGATTTTGGCTCAGGTCATGATGTCAGGGTTTTGGAATGGAGATCCACATCAGGCTCTGCCCTCAGTGGGGAGTCTGCTTCTCTCCTCCTTCTCCCTTTGCCCCCTCCCTACTCGCTTGCACACACATGGGCACATGCACTCTCTCTCTCATAAAAATAAATAAATCTTTTAAAAAAGACCGCTTTCACAATACAATATATATTGTATTGATGGATTACATCAATATCACTACAACTCAAACTTTACCTTTTATTAACACCTAGCAAATGGAACCACATTTCAAAAGGGAAATTTCACATTTCTAAAAATATCAATTCATAGCAGTCAGATGACAGAAAAGGACCAGGCAAAATATCAGGCATTGAAACTAAGTAGAGCTACATCTTTTCTATTTCTTTGTCAGATAACAGTGACTTTTGTTTTTATTTCCAAAGACTGCTTATGGAACAGTGGTGAAGGAGTAATAGCAGAGCTAGAACTGGCTTTTCCTTTTGCCACATGATTTTAGGGAAGTCAGTGCTGCCATCTGTGGCTTCTATACTTTCTCTTAGAAAGAAATGACATTAAACGTAGGATTAATCCATGTTATAAGACTTAAGGAGATGTTGGAAGAGACATTTGAGCAAGGTCCAAAGTTCCTTGGATATTATATCCAAGGATATCTTTATTATACTTAAACATAAATATATAACATAAGTAATGTACAATACTATGTAATATATACAAATATATAATATAATTAATCTATAAATCCTGGGATATATACTTAAGTTGTTTCTTTATATTTCTATGGATACAAAAATGATAGGGTCCTGGTGATACAAAAATGATAAGCATAATCTCTGTCCTTGAAGATCTTAGAAATAGGGGTCTTCTTCAGATTTTTTTTTTTTTTTAAGTAGGCTCCACACCCAACTTGGAGCTTGAATTCATACGCCTGAGATCAAGAGTCACAGGCTCTACTGATTCAGCGTTAGGCACTCCTATGGGTCTCATATAAACAAAAGGTGGTTATAAAAAAAAGCAAACAGGGACGCCTGGGTGGCTCAGTTGGTTAAGCAGCTGCCTTCGGCTCAGGTCATGATCCCAGCATCCTTGGATCGAGTCCAACATCGGGCTCCTTGCTCTGCGGGGAGCCTGCTTCTCCCTCTGCCTCTGCCTGCCATTCTGTCTGCCTGTGCTCGCTCTCTCTCTCTCTCTCTCTCATAAATAAATAAAATCTTTAAAAAAAAAAAAGTGAAAAAAAAAGCAAACAAAAAAATCTCATCATTTGGTTTCAGTTTCAACATTTTATAGATATGTTAGTTAATTATGGTATAGTCTAAGTTTTTTTTTTTTTAAAGATTTTATTTATTTATTTGACAGACAGAGATCACAAGTAGGCAGAGAGGCAGGCAGAGAGAGAGGAGGAAGCAGGCTCCCCGCTGAGCAGAGAGCCCGATGTGGGGCTCCATCCCAGGACCCTGAGATCATGACCTGAGCTGCAGTCAGAGGCTTTAACCCACTGAGCCACCCAGGTGTCCCAAGTCTAAGTTTTTTAAAACAAAGAGATCTAAAAATACAGTGTCTAAAGAAAGTGTCATTTTCTCTCTCTCACCTAATAGTCCAAGTAGGTCATTCTGGGCTGGTAAAGAGGCTCTGCCATCTTCAATATGTGGCTTTTGTCTCTGGGTCCAAGCTGGGGGTTCTTGCCTGCACCATCACTTTTGTATCCAGACCAGAAGGTTAGAGGAAAAAACAGGTTGAAGGCATGCCAGTTTCTTTGAGGAAAAGATCTGGTCGTGGCAGACATCACTTCTCACATTCCACTATCAGATTTAGAAAAATGGTTGCAATGAGCTGTACTAGCCCAGCTGGATGGCCTAGCAAAAACCTCAGCGTTGTTATGAAAGGACCATCATCAGTCTCTGCGCTGTAGGTATGGTCAAGAGAGTTGATCACAGTTACCTGGTTTTAGTAGCTCTAAGAAAGACGTTCCTCAGGAGCTAAGCCTCTAGACTGAGAAGATACACTTCAGAAAATGATTATAACCATCTTAAAGATGAAACCTTGGGTGAACCCCACCTCATACCATGTGTTGTTTGATGATCAATGATATGCATCAGGACCTTCTTGCTGATTCTTTAATTTGGGGAAGATATATACTCTTACAGCTAATAAGATTATCTAGGAATTTGCTTTAGGATGATCTGGAAATGGGTGGGTGAGGGAAGAAGCAAGCATATGTAAGTAAACATATGTAAAAAATGAAGCAAGATTGATCATGAGTTATTAATTGTTGAAACTTCTGCATATGCTTTACCTTTTCTATATTATAAAGTTTGGAGAATCAATAAATAATAATTGCATCCATATAGGGAACTGCAGATGTTGAAACCTGTTTCATAGATATTATCTTCGTAAGAATTGATTAAGTTCCGTAAGAATTGTTAGCATTGTCCTCTACTTTGAAGGACACAAAACATGGAAGAGGTAAATGCTACAAAAGTATTTATGAAATTCAGAATGCATGTTAAAACAAAAAGTTTAAAAGTACCTGACAACATGCAACTTTATTTTCATTAACCTCCAACTTACATTCCTTTTAAGAATAAAATTATGTCATGTAATACGAGAGCATGTGCTAGGAAGAGAATAACATAATCTCTTGTGTTAGAATGTGCTGTAGTACAAAGAGAAAGAGCTTTGGAGTGAGAAAATCTGGGTAAGACCCTGCTCTACTCTACTAGCTGTGGAACTTGGACCATGTCACTTAATTTCGCTGCATCTCCATTTTCCAATTTAACAAATGGCATTAATATTTAACGTGTTGGTTGTTGTGAGGATACATTCCTATAAATGTAACATTATTATAAATAAGGAGATAGAAGTGCTCATTTTCCCCTTTATGGCTGAGGTTGCCGAAGTAGTGCTTTAAAGAAAAGTACTCTCTTGGGGCACCAGGGTGGCTCAGTGGGTTAGGCATCTGACTCTTGGTTTCTGCCCTCATCTCAGGGTTGTGAGATGAGCCCTGTGTTGGGCTACGTGCTCAGTGGGGAGTCTGCTTGAAGAATGCCTCCCTCTGCCCCTCCCCCACCACACACACACAAGCTTTGCCTGTCTCAAATAAATAAATGGACCTTTAAAAAAAAAAAACTCTCCAATTTTCCTTCTAGTTTTAATAGAATTCTTTAAGTGTCCATATCTAAAAAGATGCCTATGTGAACATTAAGAAGAAAAAAATTTCATCTGTAATGCATTACCTTTTGGCCAGTAAAATAAGGGTTAGGGAGAGCCTGTAGAAGACCAATGGATCTTGGAGAATGACAGTGGATTATTGTAAAATCAATTAGATAGTGATTCCAATCATGGCTCTATTCTAGATGTGGTTTTGTTACTGGAGCAAATCAAAACTGAGCCCCTTACACAGAACCATTCCCTGAGAGGGATCTGTCACCTAGCTGGGAGCAGGTTTACTATGCTGGACTACTTCCATTATGGGAAGACTAGAACTTTGTTCTCACTGGCATAGACATTGATTCTATATATAGATTTTCCTTCTCTGTACATAAAGTTTATGCCAAAACCACCATCCATGGATTTATGGATTGGCTTATATCCACTGTCATGGTATTTCTTACAGCATCACCCTATAAATCTTATCTTGTCACCCCTCATCCTAAAGCCATTGACTTGATAGAAGGTGGAGTGGCTTTTTGAAGACTCATTTATGGCACCAGCTAAATGACGGATGGCATACCTTGTGCAGCTGGGGCAACATCCTCTAAGAGGCTCTAAATCAGATATGATTATGCTCTAAATCAGATAATAATATAGGTGGTGCTCTTTCTTCTACAGACAGAATACGTGGGTCTGGGAATTAAAGGTGGTAGAAATGGGAGTGACTCCTTTCAATATTATCCCTGGTGACCCACTAGCAACTTTTTGTTTCTTATCCTCGTGACTTTGGTTCTGTTAGTATACAGGTCTCAGTTCCAAAGGGAGGAATGCTTCCCCCAGAGGACAAAATAATGGTTCCTTTAAGCTGGAAGTTCAGAGTGTTCCCTGGTCACATTGGTCTCCTCCCGCTGATGAATCAACAGGCAAAGCAGGTGGTTACCATTCTTGGTGTGGCGACTGATCCTACCAAGGGGAAACTGGGTTACTACGGCACAGCGGGGATAAGGAAGAACATGTTTGGACTGTGGGAGATCTCTCAAAGTGCTCTCACCACTCCCACATCCTGTGATTTTAAGGCTAGGGAGAAACTACAGCAACCCAGTTCCGACAGGACTAAGGGCCCACGCCCTTCAGAGTCAGGTCACCCTACCAGGCAAGGAACCAGATAAGGAGTTCGCTGAGGGCAAAGTAACTATGGAATTGATAGTAGTTATAAATACCAGCTACAACCATGTGACCAGGAGTAAAAATGAGGACTGTAATAGTCACAACTATTTTTTTTGTTTTTTTTTAAGATTTTGTTCATCTTTTGACAGAGAGACAGTGAGAGAAGGGAACACAAGCAGGGAGAGTGGGAGAGGGAGAAGCAGGCTTCCTGCTAAGCAGGGAGCTCCATGCAGGGCGCGACCCCACTGGGACCATGACCTGAGCCAAAGGCAGACGCTTTACCACCGAGCCACTTAGGTGCCCCAAAAGTCACAACTATTAAACTGAAAAAATTACCCTAGCCACATTGGTGATTACACAAACTTCCTAATGCTTTATGGAATTTACCTACTATTTGCATTTATTGTGAAATTTCCATCTCTAAAAGGAAAAGAATTTCTTTAAAGTTTTTTTTTTCCCCCCAATAATCTCTACACCTATTGTGGGGCTTGAACTCATGACCCTGAGATCGATGGTCCCATGCTCTTCTGACTAAGCCAACCTACCCCCGGGAAAAGAATTTAATTTCATTTAATTTTTTTAAGAAAGAATTTCTTAAAAGTCTACTTTTGGGATGCCTGGGTGGCTAAGTTGATTAAGCAACTGCCTTTGGCTCAGGTCATGATCCCAGTGTCCTGGAATTAAGTCCCACATCAGGCTCCCTCTGCTCTGCGGGGAGCCTGATTCTCTCTCCCTCTGCCTGCCACTCCCCCTGCTTGTGCTGTCTCTCTCTCTCTCTCTGTCAAATAAATAAAGAAAATCTTAAAAAAAAGTCTATTTTTTTCATTACCTACAAGCACCTTACATAATATTAAATAAATCAATTAGGTGGTGTTCACTAAAGGTTTTAGTATTTTACATATTCCAAACTAGTATGCCAAAGCACAGCTGAGGCAGTGATGATTTCCTGTTCGTTGTTACAGGCATATTCTAGTTATTTGTTCACTGATACAGTTCCCAGGCTAAACTACAAACTCCACAATTGGGATATTTTTTTCTCCATTTTATATGCAGTATCCAGCTAATGTTCAGGCCCTAGAAATAATCTACCTGGGAGAAAAAATGTTTTCAGAATGTGTCGTATAAATGAATGAACTGATATTACATGTGTATAAATGAGTAAGTCTAAAGTGACTAATAATTGATGACTGTATGTAAACATCCTTGCAATCATCTAACAAAAGCATAGTGCAAATAATTTTGGAATCAGAAAGATGGGAGTTTGAATGCTGTCTTTGCAATTTGTTAATAAGCATTGGGCACCTCACTTAGTCTCTCCCGAGTCTCAATTTCCTCTTTTGCAAATTAAAGTAAAAAGGTTGCAGCACTGCTATGAGGACTGGAGATAATTTATGCACCTGACACAGTGCTTGGCTCAGGGTAGGTGCTCAATAAAAGATAGTTCTATCTATTTATCTCTGTTTATTTCAGAACGCATGTGTGGGCACGAGAGAAAGAGAGAGAGAGAGACAGCACAAGAGTACATGCATGCAAGCATGGGGGCGGGGGCATTGGGGTAGAGGGAGCAGCAGAATCCCTGCTCTATCCCAGGACCCTGGGATCATGACCTGAGCAGAAGGCAGATGCTTACCCGATTGAACCACCGAGGTGCCCAAGGATAGTTCTATTATTATTTACTACATGTGTCTAGGAGTAATTAAACAACTCTTTCTATACATTATTAACATTTCTGAATTAGTATTTTGAATTTACTAGATTTAGAAAACAAAAGACAATTGATGATGTTCTGCCTCATAGCTGGAACTGTTTTAAAAATAAGTGAGTTGTATTGTAATTGTAAGTTAAAGTAATCTAATTGTATATATAATCTAATTGTATATATAATTGTATATTATATATACAACATATGTACAATATAATTGTAAGTTTATAATTATAAGTTTAAAAAAACTTACAATACTCTTATAAACCTTGAGCAATTCTCTCACACTTGGGGTTTTGAGAAATTTTATTCTATCTGAAAACCTACCAATATTACAGAATTATTAGAAGAATCAAATATGCAAACGAGTTTTACAAACTATAAAGTGCTAAACAAATGCTAATTATTGTTTTATATCATTGACCTGAGTCCTTCAATCATAATTACGAGAACACGATTCTGTCATTGCACCATTATAACAATGCATTTTTATCTCCTTATTCATTTCCTAAAGAAAAATCAGAGATGAAACCTGCCACTGGATTCACAAAGATATCACGAGGCCCAATGACCTCGTGTTTGTTACAAATTCAGAAAACTCTCATCCTTAGAGACATATACTGCAACTGCCAAAAGAATTAAGACAGTGCTATGTGTCACTTTGTACTCACCAACACATTCTGCTTGTTGAAAACCTACTGTTTAAGTAAACTTAGAAACTTTAAATAAGTCAATAGCAAGCACATTTTATGAGGTACCTAATGTGCCACTGACTCTCCCCATAACCTTTACCTTAAAGACTTGAGAACAAGAGTTTTGTTAACAAAAAATAAACAAAAAAATAACAAAAAAATAAACAACCAAGGTGGCTCCAGGCAGAATAGGGACATTGATTTTATGTGTTTCTGTGAGGTGGGGGTCATGGTGTTTTGTGTGTTTTGTTTTTGTTTTTTTATGTGGCTTCACAGCTGGCAGGTCCTAAATTTAGCTGCACATCAGACTTGCTCAGGAATTCACCCCAGCTCTGCTGAGACAAAATAATACAAGGAGGAGCCCTGGAAACAGCATATTGAACCAATTCCAGGTCCTTCACAGGCAGTCAACTGGACATCTCTGTCTGTGGACCACTGGCAAACTAGCTTATCTTGCCTTGGTGTTGCTTTTCTCTTCTCCACTTCTAGTGCTCTTTCCTTTGCCAGTGGTTCTTTATTTTCCAGGGTCCCCAATGTCAGGATAAAATCCATCGGATAGGTCATTAACACCCTAGTGTGACCTGGTTTAATGTGCCATTTCTTTAGAAATGTTAATGGTGTGATGTGAGACTCTATGATAGCGTGGGCTGGGGCGGTTAAGGGTGGAGAAGCTTTGCTTCCTGGCCCCCAAAATGACATCACTTAGGGAATAGCTTCCTTTAAAGTCCACCTTCCCATAACTAAAAACTTAAAACAAACAAACAGGCTTCCCATAAAGTCAGTCCTACATAATAAATCACTATACAGGATGAATTTTAGGAAAAGAGTGAAAATGAAGTCAATAGAAAATCAGAATAGAGCCTGGAATTTTGACTCGTAAGCCCTACAAAGCTTGCTATTTTCTTTTCTTTCCTTTCTTTAAATTAGGGCAGACGTTTGTGACCTTTCTCAGGAAATGGTAGATTGTGCTCATTGGAATTATTCAACATGGGATGGATCCCCACTTGACAGAGAGGCTGTAAAGGGGATTCAAACATTGGATCAGAATCTTTCAATAACCTTAACATTTTTCTTTTCTATCCCAAAGACTTTATGTTCTTTGATACAGCAAAAATTATTTTATTGGTTTGATATCTCTGCAGTGTGTAACAAGTAGGATTAAAGCCTTTACTTTTGATACATGTCTGTTAGCTGCTTTAGTTTGACCTTTACCTGGTAGCCTGTGTCCAGGGCTGCTAAAAGGCTTATAGAGAACACTTTCAGGAAAGTAGGATTTCCTTCATTAGGCCAAACAGCTCTTGACATTGTTCTTATGGTCTAGATACTTTTTTTAATTCTGTGAATTATTGCATTAGCTCTTGTCCTCGTCCAAACTATGGTCAGAGTCCAATTTCTTAAGTGTAAATGTGCTTGTATCACTTTCCTACTTCAGTCGGCACCCCATTATCTTCCATATGAAGTTCAAGTTCCTTACAATGTATGTACAAGGCCTGATGTCTATTAGACTTTTCAAAATTCCCATTATGTTAGTATTGCTACCACAAATCATCTGTAGTTCCTTGAATTCTCTAAGTCCTCTTATGCCTCTGGGGTTGTGTAAAAACCGTTCCCTCTGCCTAGGACACATTCTCTTCTTCATTTTGCTACTCTTTATTGACTCCTTCACAATCCAACTTTGGTGTCAACTCTCTTGAAATAGTCTTTGATTCAAAGAGTGTGAGAAGTCCTTCTTTTGAAAACCAACGGTATCCAGATACACCTCATTATAGTAACAATTGCAATATGTTGCTATTGATTTTCTTATCCATTTTCCTTAAAAAAGGTAAGAGCCTTGAAAATAGGGATTATTTCCAGTATACATTTCTCAGTGTCTAGCAAAAAGAATGTATTAGCAAATATTTCCAAAAATAATGACTCTCAGAATAGAGAACTAATTCCATGATCTTATTAAAGTATAAGGTCAGATTCATGGTCAACATTCAAGATAACTGTTACCAACAGAAATTGTTATGAGAGGGAAAAAAAAAAACCCAAAAAACAAAACAAACAAGACAAAAAACCAACCACCCAGAACTGTAGGGTAATGTCTCAAAGGGCCAGACCACACTGGGGGAGGAGATACTACTGAAACACAGTCCATCATACAAATTCTGAGAGAAGAGACCCAGAGAGGTCCATGAAGTTGCAAGGAGCATAGAATGGGAGTGGAGTTGGGGAGGATGTCGAGATGCAACTTTGTGTTCTTCTAGGGATAATTCTTGTGATAGCTTAAACTCCCTACTATACCATGTTCTTACCTGAAGGAAAAAACCTAAAAAGCAGGCCTCATAGATTGCAGCTAACCTTTTTTCTCTTGAAATCTTGAGGGCTAATTTGTGATTATACAGTAGTAGGTGGAATAATTTTGGATAAATGAAATATAACAAGTAATCATAATGGGATTATATACTGTACATACATCTCCCATGCCACTCTACAAATGATAATGGTATTATCTTTACTTAAGTGACCACAATGGGGCACCATATGTATACTTCTAGTAGCTGCTGGTAAATATTTATAATAAGTAGAGTCTAGAAATAGTCAAATTAAAAATACATATGAAGATCATTAGAAAACATAGAGTTCCTTTATTTACTGGAAAAATATCCTATCCGATGTCCAATTTACCATTGGCTTTTCTTTCATTTTTGTTACTTTTTGTCCAAATAGAAGTGTTATTTATAAAACCAGCATTAGGGGCGCCTGGATGGCTCAGTGGGTTAAAAGCCTCTGCCTTGGGCTCAGTCATGATCCCAGGGTCCTGGAATGGAGCCCTGCGTCGGGCTCTTTGCCTGGCAGGGAGCCTGCTTCCTCCCCTCTCTCTCTGCCTGCCTCTCTGCCTACTTGTGATCTCTCTGTCTGTCAAATAAATAAATAAAATCTTAAAAAAAATAAAAAACAAAACCAGCATTATATCCCTTACTCCATAGACAAATATATATACATATGTATGTGGATATAAATAATCTATTGATTTCAATTTGATAAACATTTATTGAATAATGATCATGAGCAAAAAACTGTATGTATGTTATATAAACACCTATATCTGTTTTATATTCTTACACACAAATGTATCTATATATATATCATGTAGATAGGTAGGTAGATACATATCTGTATGTCATATAGATAGGTAGGTGGATATAAAGATTTTATTATGATACAGAGCCTTGTTTTAAATGTAGTGGGGAAAACAAGACTAAATATGGTATATACTTCCAAGATCTTTTTACAGTGATGATTCTCATTCCCATGATGTCCTTCAGACCAGCAGGGTATACAACTTCCCTACATTCTAAGATGTGCTTGAACAGACCTCTTAGGGTTTAACCTTTGGCTTTGTGTTTTCTAATTCCATAGAGTCTGTTCCAAGGGAAATTTATTTTCCCAGGGAGGAAGCGGACTTAAACCCTTAGAATCAAGTGGTGCACCCACTGTGCAAAACAGTATGGAGGTTCCTCAAAAAATTAAAAATAGAATACTATATGATCCAGTAATTCCACTACTAGGTATTTAGTCAAAGAAAATGAATACACTAATTTGAAGAGATATATGCACCAAGCACCCCTATGTTTATTGCAGCATTATATACAAAAGCTGACAGAAGCAGCCCAAGTGTCCATCAACAGAGGAGTAGATAGATGTGGTGATATATAGAATGGGATTTTACTCAGCCATAAAAAAGAATGAAATTTTGCCTCTGCAACAACATACATGGATCTAGAGGGTATTATGCTAAGTGAAATAAGTCAGTCAGAGAAAGACAAATACCATATGGTTTCACTCAGATGTGGAATTTAAGAAACAAAACGAATGAACAAATTAAAAAAGATGCAAACAAAAAACCAGACTCTTAATTGTAGAAAACAAACTGATGGGTACCAGAGAGGAGGTGGGTGGGGGGAATGGGTCAAGTAGGTGAGGGGCATTAGGGTACGCTTATTGTGATAAGCACCGAGTAAAGCATGGAACTGTCGAATCACCATATTGTACACCTGGAATTAATATAACATTGTATGTTAATTATACTGGAATTTAAAAAATAAATAAATTTTAAATCCTTATACATTATTAACAAATAAGTACTCAAGTGGTTTTATGTCAATTACATTTCCATTAAAAACAAATGCTGGGGTAGAATTGGAGGGAAGAAACAATTAAAATACAACAATAACCATTTCCTTTAAACAGTACCTAAGGGGTGCCTGGGTGGCTCAGTTGGTTAAGAGTCTGCCTTCTGCTCAGGTCATGATCGCAGGGTGCTGGGATTGAGCCCAGCGTCATACATAGTCCTTGAGTTCTCTACTCAGCAGGGAGGCTGCTTCTCTCCCTCTGCTGCTTCCCCTGCTTGTGCTCTGTCAAATAAATAAATAAAGTTTTAAAAACAACAAAAAAACCCCAGTACCTAAGAAAATGAAAACATACCACTTACCAGGCTCTTCCTAAGTGCTGGATACCTCACAGCTTCTGTGGCAGCTAATATTATCTTTGTTTTTGTAACTTAGGAGAACAAAGCTCAAAGATTGAGTAATGACCAGCTACACAGCTTGACAATGACCTACCCAGCATTTTTTGAGTATGTGACTCTAAAGTTTTGTTCTTCCTAATTAAGCTATGTTGTTAAAGAGGGGAACATTATTCTTCCAAATATCATAGCTGATTTACCTTTTCCTTTCATGCTTTTTTTCCCCAGTGTCCTTTGTTTCTTGTGACAAGGATCTCATTTGTCTCTTGCATTTCCTTTTCCTTTAGCTCTCAATTTAGGAAAACACGGGCTTCAGGACACCCTTTCTTAGCAGGTGGAAAACTTGTCAAAATCCCAAGTACAGTGGAATTACCAAATTTAGAAGTGAGGAAACTGCATTGATCATCTCTGAAAGGATAGACAAGAACAGCACCTTTGAGGAGGACTGCGTAGCTAGAGGACAGTGGCTAGAGGCAAACCTGACTATGTGTGTGTGTACATGTGTGCATTTATAATCCTGCATGGCTTGACTTTTTTTTTTAAATTTTGTTTTTAAAGATTTTATTTATTTATTTATTTGAGAGAGAGAGAGGGAGGGAGCCAGTGGGGAGGAGTAGAGAGGGAGAAACCATCTGAAGCAGACTCCACACTGACTGGGGAGCCTGTCCTGGGGCTCAGTCTCAGGACACAGGATCACGACCTGAGCCAAAAATCAAGAGTTGGACGCTTAATCAACTGAGCCACCCCGGTGCCCCCATCTATTACCTATTTTAAAGAGATGATTATTCAGAATAATGCCTATTAACAAAGGCTTCTTCTTTTTATTTTTTTTTTAAGATTTTATTTATCTATTTGACAGAGAGAGATCACAAATAGGCAGAGAGGCAGGCAGAGAGAGAGAGGGAGAAGCAGGCTCCCCGCCGGGCAGAGAGCCCGATGTGGGGCTCGATCCCAGGACCCCGAGATCATGACCTGAGCTGAAGGCAGAGGCTTAACCCACTGAGCCACCCAGGTGCCCCAACAAAGGCTTCTTGATTATTTTGCACCTTGTGCGTCAGTTGATGTTCAGAGACTTGGGCTCTGGGTGCACCCTAGCTTCTCCCCTCCTAGGAAAAGCTAGTTGATGGGATTACTTTTCATTAGCTGACCAGTAAAAACCACCTTATTTTTGTAAATACGGCCAGACGATGCTCTAGCCCATCATCACACTTTCTAAATCTCCTCGGTGTGAGCTTTACTTAGTAGTACCATCTGAGCATTCACAGAGAATTCAGTTCTGTGACTGCTACATCTATATGGATAAATTAGTTCCTTGTAAATAACTGTGTTTGATAATGTGTTCTGGGAATGCCCTTGGGAATAGAGTTCCCATGTCCAGTCTTGTCCATATTTGCCATGGGAAAAATGGACCATGGTTAATACAAATATTTTCATTTATATTTATGTTACTATTTCTTGACAGCACATTTCATTTAAATAACTAATCAGCTACTCTTTCCTAGAGACCTATCTTAACTTCAAAAAGCTAATTTTAACAAGTGAAGAAGCTGCAGTATTTGGAAGTTTATTGGCCTGTCATGTGTCGATCATAAATAGGCACATTTTATTCCTTCACAGAGTGATTTTCCAAATGCAGTCTACGGGAGAGGCATAAAGATTCACTACTGACAGTAGTGAATACAGGTCAGCTGACAAAGCTAACCTAGGAAACGCATCACTGCGGCAAAAACCAAATCTTTGAGTCTGTGGCTCCAGTGGATCAATTTTCTTTGTCAGATAAAAGAATGAAGCAGTGGTAGTGGTGATAAAATGCACCTCTTTGTCTTTCCTTGGAGGTAATTTTCTTGAAGTTCTGTTGCATCTACTCAATGCAATAAATCTCTTCCTTTAATCTTGGATGATGAATGGCACCTTAATCACAGGTTACACAAATGGGCACCATTTCTTTATGGTACTTCACTTCCATTGCTTTTCCTTTTGCCACCCTAGGTTTATTGACATCCATGGTTCATGATTTTTTTGTTCCTTTCAAATGCAAAGGAGGCCGTGGGGTGGGACCTTTAAGAAGAATTCAACTTCATTGCATATCAGAAGAAAAGTGTGTTCACCTCCAGGAATTAAGGGGCACTAACAATAAAATGTGTTCCTTCATTTCTTTCTTAGTAAGAACAATCATCCCCTTCCAGGTCCTCTCCCAGCTACAAATAATGTGCTCTTTAGAATTAAGAGGACTTCTTTTGAAAATTCTTTCCTAGCAATGGGAGGTGATTGTTTTTCTCAGTCCTTCTCCTTACTCTCCCAAATCTATACAGTGTTTCTTTCCACCAATTTAAATGGCTCTACCTCATAAATTCTCAGGAAAGAAGGAGGTCAATGTTCTGTTAGTGCTACTCTGTATATTGTACTGTAACTGCTAAGTGTACCAGAAGAACAATATGCTTTACAGTTAATTAGGGAAACTGCAGAGCTCTCTCCCATGTAAAGGTAATCTCTGCACCTGAGCTTTGATACCTATCCTCTCTCACCCTTCTAGGAACCCACACATCAATTATGCCTATTTTCTCTTGATTACTCAATTAAATCCATAGCAACTGAATCCTTTCCCAACACCATTTCAACATGCTCTAATCTAACCCAATTTAATTCAAACAAGAAAAACAAAACCCACTTTTGACCTAAAGTTCCTTTACTGCCTTATCCTTTTCTTACCTACAGAATCAAACTTATTTTGCACTTCAATCTCCATTTCCTCACCCCTGCTCTATTCTGGCCTCTGCTATCACTACCCCCAAACATCTGTAGACAAGATGACTGAAGGCTTTCCATATCACTAAATCCAAGACACTTTTTTTCTCATCTCAATTGACAAGTAAGTAATGATCTTAGTAAGGACTTGGCACTGTTAAGATACTCCCTACTCACTTCCAGAGAAACACTCTGCTGGCTTTCTTTAATTTGCTCTTAATTCTCTTTCTTTTCCTTCTCTCTCTCCTTGCAAGTCTATTTTCCTCTACAGGGCATTCACGGTTGTAGTACGTCATTTGTTTCTAGGCCTTCTCACTCCAACTTGGTCCTAGCAATCTCATCCAAACCAGAAGCTTCATCTATACTGACAATTCTCAAACGAATATTTCTACGACAGTCTTCTCTGGCTTAACAGAAATGGGGTTGATTGGCTTCCAGTATTTCTACATTGATTTCTAAACATGCCCAGGGATGAAAAGTTGTCCCCACACATCTCTCCCAACTCCAAACAATAACACAATTACAGAAAACACTATCTCCCTCTCTAATCTAACCTCAAATCCTATTGATTTTACCTCCTAAAATTTGTCTTCCCTCTTCATCTTCTTTGTCACCACTCTCGTCAACAGTGTCTTAAATTTTTTGTCCAAAAGTCTTATTTCCATAATAAAAGTTTAACTGGCACTAAAGAGGGCTATATTTATTTGGGTTAAAATAATATTTAATACAGCTTTTAAAACTGGTGTTCCGTAAGTCATTAGTTGCAATTTACAAAGCCTGTTATTCTTTCTATAATCTAGACATACATAAAAACCTAAACATCACTTTGATATTTGGTCTGTAAACCTATTATTATACCCTGATTGCACACGGCATAGCATCATGCCTGGAACACAGAAAGCACTTAGTAAATGTTTTTTAGATAATTGAATAATTGTTCAAAATTAGTTTCTTTTCTCCCTTGTATTCTCCCAACTTCCTGTAAGTAAAAACTGAGACTTTTTATTTAATACTTTGGTGTTACTCCTGATTATAATCTGCAAGATTTCATTCTATGTATTTAGTTGCTCATCCATTCAGATTTGTGGATTATGCACGATGGCTTCCGCTATTAAGAAAATGAAGGCAAGAGTCAATATAGGCAGAATCCCTAACATGTTTGCAGATTATGATTTAGTGATAATCTGTTATGATGGGCTAACCCATTTTCCTGCTTGAATGGAAGATAAAAAAAAAAAAAAAACCACCTCTCGGATTTTTAAATCTTGCAGATGAGGAAACCCCTTCTTTGATACTTCAAATCCACAAAGCCAAGCCAATCAGATTTTTTTCCTGCTCTTTGCTTTTTTGGTGGGGAAAGGGTTTTCTGGGAAATATTGAACTTTCCTTTTCCTAAGAGTAGGCCAGAGTAAACAACTCAAATTTTAAACACAATTTTCTTGAATACTTCAAAACAACTAATCCAAGAGTCATCCTGTTTTTTTCTTCTTTTTTTAAAGTCCGGATCACTTCAAGGTGTTGCTGAAAGGGGCGCTGACATGATCTCTGGGGTTTGCTTTAAAATATTCCAGCAAAAGAAAAAAATGTTTGCGGCATGGTGGTGGTGACAGATACAAGACTGAAAAAAGAAAAAATAAATTTCTGAAATTCTGGAAGTTCAGTATACTTTGAGATTTTCCTTAATAAAAAGCTTTAAATTTTTCAGATTTTTCTATTTTTTAACTCTCAGTACTCCCTTTGCCCATTAACCTTAGACGGGTCTCAGGATGAGGAAAACTACAACCAGCCTTTTTGCAAACCTCTGCCTGTGCACTAATTTATTAGAGGAGGCTTTATTTTTGCTCTATACATTATCGGCATATGGGTATCTATATATTTCATTTTAAAACAAAGAAAGCTGACCTTCCACCTCAAGTTTCGGGGGTACTACACTTTCGATATTATCCCAACCTCTTTGTAACAATTCTTTTCAGAAACGGCCCTTTCGCCCCTCGAGTCACGCGCTTCG